AACAAATGCATAACGAAAGGAAAATATCCTGAATATAAGGTCAAACAGAGTATGTGATAAATGAATACGAGYGTCACCTCGAAATAGTGGACATATATAATTAGCTGATTTTTTTTAGGGATAAACTAATAATTTATACAATCTGAGCCCTCTAAATAGCAGAAAAAAATTTACGTATGAGAGTATGTGATACTTAGAGATTTCACCAAATAATATCAAATATTACTTTTATATTATATAATAAGTCCTCGTGTCTGTAGTTTCATTGTATGTGCGTTAGCTATCTCTTTTTCTATTCAGAAAAATATTACAATAAAATGCATTTTAATATAAACCTTAAAATGCATGTCGGGACCAACACACWATTCCTAGTAGATATTTTATCAAAGTGCTTGCGGTGATTGTTCTTGACGTCTATATTTTAGAACAAAGTGAGGAAATGCAAATGAATCATAAAACATAATATTAAAAAAAAATGTTGTGTATGTGTTTTATTGTTTCTTCTTTGCGAGAAATTTATTTTTGTTTATGTACGCTACACTAATATGGTTTATAAATAGACAATAATAAATTTAAAAGATAATTTTTTCTTTCAAAATCAATATTTACAATACTTTATAAAATAATTTATTAGGGTTTACAATGTTCTTATATTGTTGGAGCTCTGTTATTTTTTTTCGCGAGAAACGTATATTTTGTAAAAAATTATCTATCATGTATTTATATAAAGTATAACAATTATTGTTGCATAATACATTTTATCAGAATAGTGGTATTRAGAGTATTTTGAAAAATGTGACTGATTTTTGTCGAGAGTAATATATAAACATTTAAGAATAAATATTGTGTTATTAACCCATGAATTTCATCTCATTGCCTTTTAGATAAATTGCTCCTATCTAGAATTTCAATGTTAATAAAAATTACTTTTTTTATAATAATTGAGAAAAACTAACAATAATTTAGGAAAAACTTGAGTAGTGTACAACACCAAATTTTTTGAAAAAATCAATTTTGTTATTAAATTGTTATTTTAAAATGTAATTAAATCCATATGTTGATGACACGCTATTCTTTCGGAATTTGTTTTAGTAGTCTTGTCTGATTATTAKATTAAGATTCTTAAACAGTGAAACAACAAKCCGATGCGTGTAATTCCTAGCCCAAATATAATACTTTTATATAATAGATATGCAGCGAATTGTTCTATTGTATTTAACTATAAACTGCTTACTTTTTTTCATAAGTAGTGTGATAAACACATTTTATAGTCTTCCTAAGATTTTTGACTGATGACTTCGCGTACCATCGTTACGTCGAAACGGAGTTTGTTCGATTAAATATTTCTGCTAAATAATCATCTCTGAGCGTATTACCTTATTACATAATAGAGTGCATATTATAGTATCTACGTTAATATACACATTTATTATCCACGAACAACAACAACTATAATATAATATAGAAGTATACATATAGAAACAATATRATACGCGCGTCTTCCTACAATGATGCTATGAAGGTTAAAAACCCACCCAGGAATTTAGCCATAAATTATTTTCCATCTTGAATACAGATTATCCACTTAAATGATAATATAGTAAATTATGATATTTTACGAATTTATTGAATGTTCAAGTTTTACTCACTATCTTATTATATACACATRCGGCATATTCATATTTTAACGTTTTAATTACGTTCAAGTAAACGTTAATTTATTAAAGTTAGGAAAGCTAACCTTGCGAATGTGTTAAATTCATAAAAAACGTATACAACAATAATATTACATA